AGTCTCCTCTGTCCTCCTCAGTTATCTGTGTTTCGAGAGCTCCAGCTCCAGGTCTGGATCCTCCAAGAGGAACAAGGTCATCAAACTGCTCGACATCAAAGAAATCCAGAAGGTACGAACAGGAATACTCCTCGTATTTATTCCCCACGTGGTTCATTACTGTTTGGTTACTGTCTCTTGAATTCGCCCTCTCTGTCCCTTTCAGTACAAAGTTTTGTCGGTGCTGCCTGGATCTGGGATGGGCATCTCCATAGCGACGCCATCCACCCAGAAGGTAAGAGCTTGTGACTTTTGGTTTTTCGATCTCCACCAACTCCTGAGAGAAATATCTGGCTCTTTAGCTGCTGAAAAAACACGTTAATGTTGCAGCTGGAGAGATAAACAATGAGCTGTGTAACATTTGAAAACTTAAAATATAAAAGTGTCGCAGCGCAGTGAAGGGCTTCCTCTCTGCCTGAATCTGATGTTCCCTCCGTTCTTGTCGTTGCAGCCGATGGTGTTCGGAGCGATGATGCACAGAGACGAAGCCTTCGACGCCATCTTCACCCAGTACAACAAGATTCTGGGCGTGGCCACAGCCGCCAGCCCAGAGACATAGTAACGCCTTCCCAAGATGGCTGCCCCCCTGCATCTGTTCCGCGTCCTCTCACCGGCGACATCCTCCAACGGCTCCTGACTTCGGTTTGAGCTGCTGCTCTGTTTTTAAACCAATAGGGTCATTGATCTAAAACACTGACATTACTTTAGTGATTGATATTAAATAAGCTGATTTCAACTAATTTACAGTAGAAGAAGAAGAGGGAGCTTTATGCAAAACATCAATCCTGAGCGTTCATTTACAGTAAGTTCTCAAATATAAGCGTCTTTTCTAATAATTACAAACACATTAAGGTTTGGTAACGAACACTGAGGACTGTACTCTAATCATGTACTGTATTAGACTCTGATACTCTTCTTATTCACTGATTATTTCCTGTTGCTTCTACTTCTTTTAAATTTTTTTTATCCCTTTTAAACTATTCTGAACGAAACACGCTTCCTGTTTCACATTAAAAGCCTCTCAGCAGCTCAAAGGGCATAAATCCTTCTGTTAACTTGGTGTCGCTTTTAATGTGAAAATATCTGCAGGAAAAACAGTTCAGAAATTGTTTTTGATTTTTTCAAACTGAATCTCTTTTGCTCGCACAGGAAGAATCAGTGGTTTACAATCTGAAAAGACGCTCCAGTATAACGAGATTTCATCAGATGTTACCGTCTGCGTTTAAGAGAATTTTTGGCATTGAAGTTTCAGGAGTGATCCAAATGTGTCAGACGGGTCATGAACAGACATTTTCTTCTCTGGGGGGAAACACATATGAATGAATTTGGACCTAAAATGTGATACTGAAATTGATATAATTAAAGAAATATATCTTATCTATAAGAAACTTAATGCAAAATTAAGATTCTCTTCATATCATCATGGCTGCCGAGCTACTGAGAGTGTTTTTAGATTTTAGTTTTTCTATTGGCAGATTTCACCACAGCAGATTCTACTGACAGTAACATCACCTGCTTTAAGCTGCAATATCCTCTAGTCTAATATCTCAGTGAGGCTTTTTCAGCATCTAACATCATGTAGCTTAAACCCTTCCCTCTGATGACTCGTCACTGATGCACTATTATTAGCTTATTTTCTAATTGTCTGTCTACTGACTCTGCTAAATTTGCGATACTTCTTACGTTTTTTTGTTTACTGATTTCGGACAGCAGACTTGAAGCTCTGCAGTGTGTCATTCTTTTGACTCGGTATATGACATGTTAGTGGATGAAAGGCAGCCTTATATGCACATTTTAGCGGTGTTGATTATGCTAATGTTACATTTCACGACCAGGTTGTGTTCAACAGTCTGAAAGGAGCGATTTAAGACAAGTTTGTGCAGTTAAGAGACTTTGGCGAATCTGACTTGAAACACTCAAACAAACAAACTGAGAATTTTAGTAAATTAATACTTGATTAGAAGAAAATCAATCCACAGCCATTTTGATAATAGATCATTTATGTAAAAGAATCAAAAACTCTCTCGCTCATGTGAGAATTTATTGATTTTCTCTGTTTTATATATATTTATATCTGAATATCTTTGGGTTTTAGACCATTGGTAGGATTTCACTTTCGACTATGGGAAACTGGGATGGACATTTTTCACTATTTTAACATTTTATAGACAAAACGATTTGTTGTCCAATTTGAAAAAATAATTTACCGAATATTTGACAATGACTTTAACCTTAGTTGCAGCCGTACAATCAGTTCTGCATGTACACATCAGTCTCTAAAACATACTGAACTTAAACTAAATATTATTTTCTAATAATGCTGGTTAACTGATTTATTTTCTCAATGAACTTTTGGTCAGAAAATGGTGAAAAATGTCCTTCATAGTGCAGTTCCATTGGTTATTTAGTTTTGTTATAAAACAGAGAAAAGCAAGTCCTTACTTTGGAGACACTGGAATTATGGAAAGGTGTTTTTTTATTTTTTATTTGGTGAAAATAAATAATTAGAACACAAAACAATCTCTTTACACTAATTATAATTACACTGGAAAGTTCAGTCCACAGTGCGTTAGTGCTAAAATCATCACTCAGTTTTCTGAACATATTCCAGTTATATTTGGGGGAAAAAAGGATTTTTTTGGACAGTTGTTTTTACAGTGTTGTACGAATATAAACGTGTTTAAACCTCATTAATTTACATTAGTGTCTTCAGGGAACTGTAAAAACTTTATTAAATGACTCTGTATTGTACTTAACAGCTAAGCCTTACAATCAGTTAATATTACAGTATGTTGTTGTTTTATGTGGTGGCAAGAGACTGTTTGTATTCTATATGAATGTTTTAAGACTATTTCCTGTGCGACATTTAATCTAAGACAGAAAAATAATCTCCGCTTTTAACGTTTTTTTTTTTTCTTGTTTTTTTGTCTAAGCTAAAAGCTAATAAGTTAATGCTAACAAAGCAGACACAACCTGTAATGTTGAAGTCTAGGTTTCTTTCACAATCAAAAGCAAATTGACTAGAAGCTGAAGCTAAATCAAAAACAAAATAAAAAACAAAACAAATGGGCTTTTTTGTTTTAACTTTAGCTTCTCTCCTAGCAAAAAGCTAATAGGCTAAAGCTAAACAATTCAAAACAGCACAGTGACATGAAATCCAAGGTTTTTCTTTCTTTTATCGCCAATAAGCTCAGAGGCTTAAAGAAGCTGAAGTGTTGAAGTGTTTTTCTGATCTGTTTAATTTCTGTTTTAGGTATTTTAAGCTTCAGAGCTAATCGGCTGAAGCTAAACAATCAAAAAAAAAACAATAGTTTGAAAAATTTTTTTCTAATCACACTTCAGTTAGCTTTTAGGTTTAGCTTTCCTTCATAACCAATAAATATTGAAGTTTTTTTTCCTTTCTATTTAGCTCCTGATTTAAATGGGTTTTTTTTTCCAATACCAGGAAGCTAATTGGCTAAAGCTAAACAGGCTAAAATATAAAATTTTTCTTCTTTTCAGCTTAGCTTCTATTTCTTTTTACTTTGTACGGAGCCAGCAGTGTCATAAATTAAAAAAAAGAAAACACACAAACTTCACACAAATTGTTTCTCTCACAATGCTATCAATCTGATCTAAATAAGGCCCTTGGATTCAAGACTTTTAGTTTTGTTTTGGACTGAAATACACTTTTTCTTTAAACATGTATTTTTGGTTAATTAGATAGCACAAATTATTATTGTTATTATTTTTATCTGTCAGGCTTTTTAAGTTTGCCACTAAATGAGGAAACACATTTTACAGCCAGCCAAAGTGCTGCTGTGTAAATTTTAAAACCTTTATTTTCCTGCCAGTACCGCTGCTCTGTAACTGTAGTTCTCCGTCCCTCAGAGGAACACAATGTACTGTTATTCTGAAAGCTGACTCACCAGCATTTATCAACTATTTACTGACAATTACTCTCATTGTCGATTAATGTGCCAGTTGTTTTTTCAGTTAGTCACTTGATTAGTTGTCTACAGAACAAAAGAAAATATTTCCTCAAGGACAAGGTGATGGCATTAATGTCTTGTTTTGTCCGACCCTCAGTCCAAAACCCAAAAATATTCACTTTTGGAAGACAAGGAAAAGCTGAAAATTCACACATTTGAGAACCTGGAACCATTGAGTGTTTGACTATTAATTGATTGCCAAAATAGTTTCTGATTAATATTCTGTCAATTGACTAATCATTTAATTGACTAATATTTGCAGATGCAATCGTTACAGATGTGATCTTCTGACCAAAGACAAATTACCCAAAATGGAGGATGTTGTCGTTTTTAGCTCAATCAACTTTACAACAAAACTAAAGTAGGTGAAAGGGAAATAAATTTTCTTCCCAAAATAAAACATATGAAACATCCAGTATAAGTTTTGATCAAAAAAAATGTACAATTGAATGAATAATCTCACGGTCAGTTTTTGGTTGGATCTGGGCAAAACTCTTTCATTGCCAAATCTTTTGTAGTTTTTAATTGTTTCTTGTGAAAATGTTTTTAGATTTTTCATTGACACTAGTCGTTAACGCCACGTTGCCTCATTCAAACTTTTTGTTTGGCGCATTTCCTGAACATCTTTAACTCTGAATCTTCCTCAGTTTGTTTGTTTGTGGTTTCGTTTTTTTTTTTCTTTTGTTTTTTTGTGGACGTTACGTGAACTCTGTCGACCTGTTGTGTGTATCGAATGTAAGGGTTTTATAAAATGGTGTCGTTGTACAAATAGGTGTAAAGTTTTTAAATGAAATGATACTTGTTGTTAAAATGTGTTGTACATTTTTTTTATTTAAGTAAAATCAAATGTCAAACACTGACACTGTCTCCCGTTGTTGCTTCTGTGAAGTACCTGCTTCGGTCTGCTGGCGTCACCATGTGGAGGTTCAACTTCTCGTTATTAAAAACAAAAAAGTTGGAAGACAGGAAATTGAAACCTTATTCCTCAGTTTAAGGGGTTTATTATTATTACTACACAATATTTTTGGTTTGAGCCAAACATAAACAAACTTATTTACATTAGTTTTCTGCTCTATAAGCTCAACGTGTGTTAATTATTTTAGTGGAACTGCTGGTGAACGTTTCTGCTAACTGTTGGTTATTTAATGGAAGTTCAGACTTTGTTTCTGTCATAATGTTTTACAGTCGTTAGTATCAGCAGGGAGAGTTTTTATTATCTTACACAGTAACAGTAGTTGTGTTTCTGTTTTTAATCATTTGCTTTTGCTCTCTGTGCATTTCTGGTTTGTCACATCAATAAACAACCAACACAGCCAGTAAATAATTAAGCCAAAAATATATTTTCCCCCCAACCTTTCCTCTTGCAGTGTTAAACCATGTTTACCGGCAGCTCTACTATTGTTAAACTAAATATAGAGGAACTTAAAGAACAGAACCTTCATTCTCTGCTGTTACCAACTATTATACTGTGTCTCCATCATATAAAACACGTGTGTGCACAGCTTTGAAGATATGTTTAAAACACATGTCTGATTTTACTGAGCATAAATCAATGAATAGACATTATTTCAAAAATCTCCTCCACTAGGAGTCCACAGACACTGATCTCAGCAGCCTCAAACTACACCAACATAATATCTTTATCAGGGTACACTGCATTCATTATGACACAAAGTATTTACATAAAGAATAAAAGCTGTAAAATGTTCAATTACTTCAAACCCAAAGCACTTTACTCAGGGTGAGGCTTATAAATGAAGACATCTGAGTCATCATTACTTTTTTTTTTTTATCTTTCAATAAGGTGTTCAGTCATGTTTTATTTCACTGTTCCTCTGTCATGACTGATAAGGACTTGCAGCAGATTAATTTAACATTTTATTATAGGTGGTTCCCGCTCTGTCCTCGTCTTTCGGCTCCTTTCCCAGATCAGAGGTCAGAGGTCAGTGCGTCGTAACCATCGAACTCCTCTGCTGAATCCCCCAGCTTCACCCCGAGTCCACTGTCCAGATCTGAATCGGCAAAGACGACCTTTGGGGGTTTTGATGGCTCGCTGGACGACTGTTCCTCGTCATCTTCCTCCTCGCTGTCGTCCTCTCTGCTGTCTGGGATGATGACCACCTCATCCATGGCGTTGGGGTCGATGTCCTCCTTAAACCAAACGGACTTGTATCCCTCCTCCATGCGCCTCTCTTTGGTCAGGATCGGTTTCACCTCTTTCTCGTTGTCAGCCTTGTCCGAGCCCGCCATGCTGGTGTCGTCAGACAGGAAGGTGTGCAGTGGTGCCGAAGACTTTATGATGGCCTCTTTGTGCGGGATGCTCTCTGCTGCTTTTTGTGGCTCTCTACCAGCCATTATGATCCCCCCGTCCGGGCCGCCGGAGCCCATGCTTCCTCCATCTTCATCGTTCTCGAAGGCCTCATTGGTGTACTGGATGCCCTCCTTAGGACCGCCTGAACCTTGACCCAACTGTGGAAGGACGATACAATCAGGGAGGGAAGACAGTTTAAAAACCTGCTGGGTTTTGGGTAATTCTTAATTAAGAACATATGAACAGGAGAAGCCAGGAATCGAACCACCAGCCTCACAGGTAATGGTCAACCCTTATGCCTCCTGAGCTGCAGCCACTCCCATCGATTACACAAGAGACTGATTGGTTGCAGCCTGACTCTGCAGGATGGATCCTCGTGTGTGTCGGGCTATTTTAGGTAAGTACATTATAAATCCCCTTGTCCAGAGTCAGCCTCCCTTTTTACTGGTCAACTATTCTGTAATTAAGGCCCAGCTGTATTTAAAACCTATATGAGATATTGGTCTTGAAGTCAAAGGTAACAGTCTAGAACAGTGATGGTCAACTGGTATCCGACCCCCTCGAAGCTTCCCATTCAACCCAATGTTCCAGTATTTAGGATACCTATCTTTTTTCTTCTTCTTGAGGATTAGCAAACATTTCTCGACTCACTGTATTTGCCCTTACTCCGAACACTTTAACAAACTTTAATCTTTGAACTCACATAGCTTCGAAACACGTTGGTTTCGTAGATCTTCCTCCAGTCTGCTTTGCCTTTCCGCAGGCGATGGGCGAGCACCCCGATGACCACCAGACAGATTAACAGCAGGACACCCAGGGTCACGCCGAGTGCTGCCATGTCCACCGGCCCATAGCCGCCGGACGGTACGATCACTGCAAAAACAAAGGTCACTCAATAAAGGTAGGCTTGTTTAAATCTGGTAGCAACTTTTCAGAAGTAACTGCTATCACTGCACAACAAAGCGTTGCTGTTTGTGGTTGGTCTCTTTGAATGTCAACAAGACACCTTCCCTGGTCAAAGATGACCACTGTGAATTACCTTTACATGAACTTAGAAATGGATTTTGGTGTCTTCTGGTTTGGTTTCCATCTTGCATTACACAGAACAGGAAAACTCTTTCCTGCTTCACTTTGATTTGAGGTAAGTTTTGCTAACCTGGGGATGGTTGCTATCACCTTTGTTGCTAGCTATGCTTTTCCATAAAGGGACAATATTTTATATGACAGAGAAGCTATTGCGAGAAACGTGTGACCACCTGTGGGAGGGTGAGCTGAGCTGCTTCCTTCAGTGGTCATACTGGGATTAGTGGTTGAAACACTGCCCTCAGTGGACATAGTGGAGTCTGTGGTGGAGGTTATGCTTTCACTGGTTGTGCTGGGGATGGTAGTTGACACGCTGTTGTCAGTGGTCATAGTGGGGTTGGTGGTGGACATGATATCTTCCGTGGTCTTGCTGTTGGTGGTGGATTCCCCTATGGATGTTGAGGTCATAATGTCTGTAGTGCTCAGAGGCAAACTGGTGGTGGTGAAACCTGGGAGGAGAGCACACTTTGAAGCTTAATGGTTTCACCTCATGTCCCTGCTGGACAGAAAGTTAATTTTCGCCTTGGTTTAATTACACACACCTGACTGCTGCAACATCGGCAACAAAAAGCCGTTGCACTTGACGGTACTGAATCTGTTTTAGCTAAACTGATGAAAGTGCTGCCAAACACTGACACCTGCATGAAGATTGGATGAAAAGGTCTTTGTCCACATCCAAATTAACTCTTACTTGTTTGTGGAGACATCCAAGCAGACCAACCACGGGACTGTGTTACTGCGTGCATGGTATGTGTATACACAAATCAAAAAGTCAGCCTCTGTCTCAGTCTCACTGATGAGGCAATACCCAGGTACTAAATTTACATCCTGGTTCCTCAGGTTGAAATGCAGGTAAACTTTTGTTAATATTTATACAGAGTTTTGTGGTGCTGGAAACGGGGCAATCATTAACCTTGAATTTGGTTAAAACAACAAGTCATCCCAGACAAAGCAGAGCCAGGGGGGGTTTGTTTTTAGTCGAGGCCTCTGTGACGGTTTGGTTCATACCTGATGTCACCATCACCGAGAGCTGAGCTGTAGCTGATTCATCGTTTGATGTATCTTTTGCCATCACCTGGAATTTGTGAAGATGAAGTCAAGTGCTTGGTAAAAAAATAACCTATCAATGAGTCACTTTAGCCTTTATGGGATTTGTAAACTCACTTGCAGGGATAACGTGCCCTCTGGGAGATCCTTAGTCATGAATAAGTGGCCGTTAACGATTGAGAAATCACTGTTACCGATAGTGGAGTAGGTGATGTAGGGATTTAGACCCTGTTTGAACAGAAATGAAAAGGTTAGCGCTGCACATCATGTGACAGAATTAGAGAAATGTACAGACTCTGGAGTCAGTGTTTTACATCAGTGGTAGTGTAGTCGTCGTCTGTAGCGATGATCTGCAGCGGCGCGTCCTTGTTCTCCGGGTCCATAGCCATGGAGCCCACTCCGGTGATGACGCCTCTGTAGCTAGGCCTCTGAAACTGAGGAACGTGGAGACTCTTCTTCTGAACACTGATTGAGACGGTGGTGGTGGTAAACTGGTAACTGTTTGTCTTCTGCGCAGCCTAGGAGAGGGAAAACATATCTGAAGGTAAACATAAAAACAGATGGTGGTGGAATAACTAAGTACTAATTCTGAGGTACTTGTACTTTACTTAGTAAATAAGTATTTTATTTATTTAAGACTTTACATATAACAATCTAATATAATCCAATGCATATGGTTCCCATTTATTTTGGTTTGTGACTCCTTTAGATGTTTGTGAGTTGTTAGTATTTTCACCAAATAACGATTGCTCCTTTAAATAACCATTCGAGGATAGGTGAAATAATTCCAAGTTTTCACAACAAAAGTCCATCAAATGATTATATATATTATGTGTGTATCAGAATTTTGCTTTTTCTTTCCTCTCCCATTAATAATCTCATGACCCCTTAAATTTATCTTGTGGCCCTTTTGGAGGGACTCGACCCCTAGATCTGACACCACCAGTCTACAATACCTAATATTATATAGCAGATATGTGCACTGTAACAGTTTCAGTTTCAATTTCAGTTGGACTTTAAGAGAATGGTCTAGACCTTCAGATATCAGGACCAAAATTTGCTCTGACCAAAAGAGGTGGTCTGGGTCTGGATCAACCTGAACCGTGGTTTGGTTCGTTCACAGTGTCAAAACACATTTCTGGATGTTTCAGACTTTCGGACCTATTACAGGAAGTTGAGGGAGGCTCATCGCCCATTAACAAATAGAGGAAGAAAAATAACCAGAAGAGAGTTAAATGTGAGCCGTGGCAGCACATGAGCGGAGGAGGAGAGGAAATATTTCACTGTAATTTGGTCTGACAATGAAAGCAAAAGAGAACAAACAAAATGTGGAACTTATTATTCTCATTATTTTCTGAGAGCCACCATGACGCCATGTTTTGAATGCATTGGATAAAAGCATGTGAAGGTTTTCTTTTTACCAGCACTGTCAGACTGATTGTATCCAACTTGCTGGCTGGCTTCAGCATGGTGATGTTCCCGGTGTTGGCGTTGATCTCAAACAGACGCTCATCATTTCCTAAAACACAGACAGACTGAACTCTTCTACCTGCTGATAATCAACAGCTTTTTGTCTGCAGACTGAAAAACAAAAAACGTTTTTTGTTTGTTATAATCCGAGCTGCTCACCACTCAGAAAAGAGTATGTTATCGCCTCATTTATCCCAGAGTCTCCGTCAATGGCGTAAAGTGGTCCTGGTTTCAGTGGTAACAGTCCGGTCTGCAGAGAAGAAAACATTCTTTTCATCATCATCATGTGTCTAACAGAGTGGCTGAAGAGGTGAAAACACAATTTAGGGGCTGTATTAAGGTCACAATCTCCTCCAAACAACATGTTTGTGAGATTGTCTAACAGTATCTCTTTTTCAAGAACACAAAGACACACATAAGACAGAGTTGCTGGAGGGAGATTGGTACAGTGGCCCTGAAAACACATGCAAATAGAATAGCGTTCACCAACCTAACAACACGTGAGCATTTCTGTATTTCTGGTGCTTTTTTCTATATTTGCAGTGCATTTCTGTGTTCGCTTCGTTTTCATGTTAATCTTTGTGCTTGTGTTTTCTTAAATTGTTCTGTTGAGCTTTCAGGGCCACCGCACTTGGACACACTGAACTTTGTAGATCCACACCTCTTGTTCGTTGAGGTTGACCTTGCCGGTGTAGCCGGTGCTCTGGCAGATCACAGCACCCCCCATCTCGTGCATGATGCAGGGCTGGAACCACGGTGGCCTATTGTCCTTGTCTAAGATGGTGACCATGATGGTGGTGGTGGCGGTAAACGAAACCCTGGCATCTGTTGTTGTCAACGGTGTGTCCTGATGAAAAAAGAGAAACAACAATTGAAATTTGATTATTTCAGCACAATACAGAAACATGCAACAGAGTTCTGAGAAACTGGACTGAAACTAGTCTCACAGGGTTACCTTTAGAGAGACTAAAGCTTTTTTACATTTAAAGCCACTTAAGTGTTTCTTTCTGTTCTTTGTTATTTCTATTTTGGAAATTGGAAGAATATCATATATTGACATTTATGTCTAGCTAATAGAAATATATTGTATTTACGTTTATGTATTGTGTTGTATTATGTATTTTTATATATATGTATATATTTCTGTATTAATGTATTTTATGATGTGTGTTTATATTACAGACATATGTTAAAGAAATATGTATCCATCCCAAAGCCTGTCCGATTATGTTCATATTATATATGTAAATATAAAAGATAGACGTGTATGTTTGAATTTAATATGAAATTATTAAGGAATCATATAAACTTTGAATAAGCATGTTGTTTTAATAAAGTTGCATTTTGTGGTGATTATTTCATATATTATACGATTATTATTTAATATATGCAGAGGATGTATATATATATGTCATAATAGTGTTTCCTCTTATAAGTGACACATATGGCACATATATAACATCACTCTTGACATAGGGACATATATGTCATGTATAAGTCATAAGTCATAATATAACAAGTCTAAAAAATCATATTATAGTAAATAATTAGAAAACGCCATAGTATAGTAAGCTATAAAATATCAAAAAACGTCATAGTATGGTAAGGCATAAAAAAGTCATAGTATAGTAAGGCATAAAAAGTCAAAACAGAGTAAGGCGTAAAAATGGCATAAAAACGTCATAGTATAGTATGGCATAAAAATGTCAGAAAAACATCATAATGTGGTAAGGTATAATATGGCATATTATAGTAAGGTATAAAAAGTCATAGTATAGTAAGGCATAAAAATGGCATAGTATAGTAAGTTATAAAATATCATAGTATAGTAAGGCATAAAAACGTCAAAAAACATAATTCTATAGTAGGGTATAAAAAGTCATAGTATAGTAAGGCATAAAAATGGCATAATATAGTAAGTTATACAATATCATAGTATAGTAAAGCATAAAAACGTCAAAAAACGTCATAGTATAGTAAGGCATAAAAACGTCAAAAAACATAATTCTATAGTAGGGTATAAAAAGTCATAGTATAGTAAGGCATAAAAATGGCATAGTATAGTAAGTTATACAATATGATAGTATAGTAAAGTATAAAAACGTCAAAAAACGTCATAGTATAGTAAGGCATAAAAACGTCAAAAAACATCAAAAAAGTCATAGTATAGTGAGGAATAAAAACGTCAAAAAACATCATGGTATGGTAAGGCATAAAAAGTCATAGTATAGTAAGGCTAAAAAAGTCATAGTATAGTAAGGCAAAAAATGTCAAAAAACGTCATAGTATAGTAAGGCATAAAAAGTCATAGTATAGCAAGGCAAAAAATGTCAAAAAACGTCGTAGTATATTAAGGTATAAAAACGTCATAGTATAGTAAGGTATAAAAATGTCATAGTATAGTAAGGCATAAAAAGTCATAGTATAGTAAGGCATAAAAACGTCATAGTATAGTAAGGCATAAAAACGTCATAGTATAGTAAGGCATAAAAACGTCATAGTATAGTAAGGCATAAAAACGTCATAGTATAGTAAGGCATAAAAACGTCATAGTATAGTAAGGCATAAAAACGTCATAGTATAGTAAGGCATAAAAACGTCATAGTATAGTAAGGCATAAAAACGTCATAGTATAGTAAGGCATAAAAACGTCATAGTATAGTAAGGCATAAAAACGTCATAGTATAGTAAGGCATAAAAACGTCATAGTATAGTAAGGCATAAAAACGTCATAGTATAGTAAGGCATAAAAACGTCATAGTATAGTAAGGCATAAAAACGTCATAGTATAGTAAGGCATAAAAACGTCATAGTATAGTAAGGCATAAAAACGTCATAGTATAGTAAGGCATAAAAACGTCATAGTATAGTAAGGCATAAAAACGTCATAGTATAGTAAGGCATAAAAACGTCATAGTATAGTAAGGCATAAAAACGTCATAGTATAGTAAGGCATAAAAACGTCATAGTATAGTAAGGCATAAAAACGTCATAGTATAGTAAGGCATAAAAACGTCATAGTATAGTAAGGCATAAAAACGTCATAGTATAGTAAGGCATAAAAAGTCATAGTATAGTAAGGCAAAAATGTCAAAAAACGTCATAGTATACTAGGGTATAAAAACGTCATAGTACAGTAAGGCAAAAAATGTCAAAAAACGTCATAGTATAGTAAGGCATAAAAAGTCATAGTATAGTAAGGCAAAAAATGTCAAAAAACGTCATAGTATAGTAAGGCATAAAAACGTCATAGTATAGTAAGGCATAAAAATGTAAAAAAAAATTCATACTATAGTAAGGCATGAAAATGTCAAAAAAACGTCATAGTATAGTAAGGCATAAAAAGTCATAGTATAGT